TCCGCCGTATGAGAATTGGTTGAGTACCCCCCAACCCTCCTCGCCCCTCCCGGGCTGCTATGTCAGTATGACGTTGGGCCCAGCTCATAAGTGTTGTTTCAAGGATTTTGAGTTTTCACGGATAGTGACTGAGATCTTCAGATTTGAGTTGTACACGGTAGGTTAAACAACGCTACCGGGCAAGTGTGGAGAATTATGCTTTGCGTGAGTCAAGATCATTGTCACCGCTGATAGCCTGATGCAGTCCGATTTAATTTTTTTTGAGATCAGAAGTGGGTCTTTAAACAAAAGCGCGATGTCTTGTAGCTTCTTGTTGTTCCTCCGTAGGAATTTACTGTTGTGTCTATGCGAATGTTATGAATTCTGTAAGAATGCAGTTCCTCGTCTGTTGCTACTATGGTGCACAGAGCGAAACTAGCTCAGTGCTATAATCAAAAATACTGATTTGCTATTGGCTGCAAAAAAACGCCAAATTGAATTTATAATCCAAATAATCGGGGCTTGAGAACTAATAGCAAATTGATACCTCAGGGACATTTTATGCAAATTGAACGAGAACGAGTTAGATATCCAAGAAAATCACAATTAAAGTGGAGGAGCACTAAGGAAAGAGAGGCAGGTGGAAGGCTATTAAAGTCAGTGAGAATACCAAGGAAATAATAAAAAGCTTCGAGACTAGGAGGCTTAGCACGTGTTCGTGGAGGCGAAAAGGTGATAATTCGCGCGCGAGAGAGAAAAGAAGAAAAACCAATCTGTTCAAGCAGACTCTCAAGGTCATGTTTCATGTTTTTTGCTGACGGTATAATTCGGTGCCTTTTATACGACGACTTTCTGTAACCCCATATACCACATGCTTGTCTGTAACGCAAATATATGGGATTTTTTGTGCCCATATATATGCGCGTTTGTAAGAAATTGGTCATATACTTGGGAATAAAACGCACGTATATTGTTTAGCAGGAATGATTGCAAGTATACGTGGGGAAAAACCGCACGTATATCGTGTCATAATTTTGAAACAAATGGCCGACCATGGACCCGTGAGAGTAGAATAAATTATGTAGATAACACGTCACGTGACTTCCTTGCTAGTCGCTAGTAGATTTGTTGTAAGTCGGGTTGCGGGCAGTACACCAACCTGTTGCAAATCGGTGTATTGTAAATCGAGCGGATTAAAGTTCTGTTCAAGCGTTCAAGTTTGTATTCCATCGGTCCTTAACAGTATACGCGCGCTTCTCAAACTATGCTAAGCGGTTCCAGGACAACTTACTGTTACTGTAAACTTTATTTTTACTCTGAGGGAGCCCTATGTCCATAAGCCTTATGGTTTCTTTTTGGGCTTCCTCGCCACTTTCATTTGCTTTTGTGTAACTGTCTTGTTTTATCGTTATTTGTTTTTGTGGTAAATCAAATAAAAGTTACAACCACTTGAAAGCCTAAAACATCACGGACAAGCACCAACAACGATCATTATTCCTAGATTCGAGAGGCGAAACCACGCTAGATATATTCGAACAGCTTGACAATACGGGAACGGATTTGGACGGAGCAATCACTGCACTACTAAACAAGTTCAAAGAATCGCAAAACCGGCTTTTCAATATACACAAATTTCGTTGCACTATACAGGGAAAAGATGAAACCTGGGACTCCTTCGTCGCTAGGCTAAAAGCAGAAGGCGAACACTGCGATTTTCCGGCAGGGTGGTTGGATGCAGAGATATTAATGGCCATGATAACGAACGGCAAATCAAAGAGAGTGAGAAGAAAGCTTTTGCAAGACCAACTAACGCTGGCTGAAGCTCTCAAATACGCTCGTGGTCTTTAGAGCGCGGATCAACACGCTACAAGAGTAGAAAACCAAACGACGACCGAAGTGACTGTCAAGCAAGAAATCAATAAAACCACTGTCGACAAAAGTAGAGAAAAACTGTGTTTTAATTGCGGGAAACATTGGCCACAACAAGGTTGACAAAGAAAATGCCCGGCTTTTGGAAAACAGTGTACGCGATGTGGCAAAAGAAACCATTTTGCAAAGTGTTGCAAAAACAAGCAAGAAATTAAATTAGCCCAAGCAGGCGAGCAAATAACTGACACATCGTCTGACAGCAGTGATGAAGAGTCCACGTGCACGCTGAAAGAGGTGAACCCCGTGGGACAGTCACATAATAGGCCCCTGAAAACAGTGCTAATTAGCGGCGTTGACATTACGGTACTACCTGACAGCGGTGCTACGGTCAACGCTATGGATAAGGCAATGTTCAAGAAATACGGCCTAGAGAAAAGAGTAAAGGTTAGTCAAGATGCCAAATAAAACCATACGGGGCAGCTTCAAAAGCAAACACCCTGCCTGTTCTGGGTTGTTTTGAAGCGCTTACGGAATCTAAGACAAAAATGAAAGTGATTGCGTGGCAGCTAATAAAAGGAGACACCCGCACCGAACCGTTGCTCGGGTACGTTCAGCGTACGTCAGAAGATGGAAAAAAAATAAAGCATATTATTGATCAAGACATTATTGAAAAAGTCAACGAAACTACGGGATGGGTGTCACCGCCTGCGGTTACGCCCAAGAAAGATCAGAGCCAGAAACGTCTGAAGGTGGACATGCGCGTGGCAAATCAGGCAATACCCCGCAGACACACCCAGCACCCCACAATAGAAGACGTGGTCAATGAGCTGAGGGGGTCTACGGTGTTCTCCCATGTGCATATGAGTAAGGGATACCACCAACTTGAACTCAAAGAGAGTTCGCGGAACGTAACGACCTTTTCAACTCACATTGGCTTGTACGGATATGAGAGGTTCAACTATGGTACTGCAGAGATATTTCAAGAGACGATCAGAGAAGAATTGACGCACGACCTGAAGGGAGTTTTCAACATAAGTGATGACATCATTGTGCATGGGCGTGACAAAAAAAACACGATTCAAAACTGGTAGCAGCATTATTCAAGAGAAGCCGCGAAAAGAATGTCACATTCAACAGAGCAAAATGTGAATTCAGAAAAGATCGAGTGGTCTACTGTGGCATGATGTTCTCTAAAGATGGAGTATCTCCAGACCCATGCAAAGTGAAAGCCATTAAATCTGCGGGACGCCGTAGAAATGCGGCCGAACTTAACTCATTCCTCTGTAAGGTCAGATATAGTTCGCGATTCGTGGAAGGCAGACAGTATCAGAAAGCGGCGTGCAAACTGGGTGAGCTAGTGACCGGAAAATTTGAAAGGAAACCGGAACACTCCATCGAGGAACATTCGAGGAACTTAAGAACATGCTCAGTAACGACACAGTCCAAGCATACTTTGATGCCCAGGCGGAGCACGAGCTTCATATTGATGGCTGCCTTGTGGGTTTGGCCGCAACACTTACTTACTTACTTACAACAAAACAGCTTTTGAGAGCACATGTATGGTTCCCCGGAATGGACTCACAATGTGACAGGTTCGTATCCACTTGCATCGCCTGCCAATCTAACACGCCGCAAACGCATCGCGAGCCATTTCGGATGACAGACCTACCGGAAGGACCGTGGGAGAAGGTCAGCGTGGATTTTTGCGGACCAATGGCGAGTGGTGACCTCGCCCTCGTATTCTACTGTCAATATGTCAGATACCCAGTGGTTGAATTCGTGGGGTCCACGAGCGAGAAAGCAACAATACCGACATTCAAGAGGGTGTTCGACACATATGGAGTGCCAAAAGAAATCAAATCAGATAACGGACCGCCCTTCAACAGCCATAAATTCGAAGGATACGCAAAAGAGGAGGGGTTTAAGCACCGAAAAGTGACACCCGGATGGGCAGAAGCCAACGGCGATGTAGAAAGGTTTATGCAGAGAATAAAGAAGGCCGCTCGGATCGCCTCTTTGGAAGGCAAACCTGTGAGGGATGAAGTGAACCGGGGAATCAGGGCATACAGAGCAACTGAGCATGCGACAACTGGAGTCAGCCCGAACAGGCTCATGTTCGGAAGGGAATTAAGTGGAAAGTTCCCTGAAGTCAAGGGACAGCCTAAATATAGGGATGACACGATGATTCGCTGTCGTGACCGAGAACAAAAACAGAAGATGAAGCAATATGCTCATAAAAGAAGACACACAGCCGTGATGAAAATTAAAGTCGGGGACACGGTGTTGTGCAAGCAGGAACGTAAAAACAGCCTGACACCTCTGTATGACCCGGATCCTATGGTAGTCATTGGCGTCAAGGGAAGCATGGTCACTGCCAAGAACCGTGTGAGGATTCGCACCAGGAATTACGCCGATTGGAAAATGCTCAAAAATGGTTGTAGGGAATCACCGCGGTGTGATGATTCTGACAGCGATGATGCATTTGAACCGGACGAAGTTATAATTGAAGGTCCAGAGCAATCCTCAGCAGGGCCAAGTGGAGATGCAGTGCCAGCGGACAGATCCAGTGAATCCCGGCAAGGTCATGAGCAGCCAAGAGCAAACAGCGACTCAGCTGAGTACGAGAATAGGCAGAGATCTCCGCAGCCCCGATCAGACCGTGACGCAGAGCGAAGACACGTGCCCTTGGACAGGCCCAGAAGGAAAACAAGATCCACAAAGGACACTAAATATAAGGAATTTATTTGCGAATAGCGAGCATTTCCTTGTTTACTATATTAGAGCCTGTAAAGGACACTGAGTATAAGGACTTTATTTGGACTAGGGCCGTAAGGACTTTAATTTGTTTAGTTTATTTCTTTATTTTTGTTTGCTGTTTTCGCGTGATGGGGGGAGAGATGTAATGGCGTGACCGCATGCGTGACACGCCTAGTGACGCTAATAGTATGCATATTAGGTGTTGTTATTTTAGAACGTGCTATGTTGTATCAGAACGTAGGAAGTAACGGACGCGAGCAGTAGCTTAACGAATTGATTGTGAAACATATACGATGTAAACCCGACATTAAAGATACCTTTCCCTGAAACAGTCGATGCCATTTAGTATGGTTTATGCCAAACCGGCTCTTGGAGGATAACGGATATCGTGATATTTGAAACAGCGTTGCGTTGTGGGAAATCACGAAAACACGATGTACATGGGGTAATTCTGGGAACTCAACAAAATGGCGGATCAAGTATAGCAATTCAAGTTGAGGAAGTTTCTATTGAAAGCGTTGCATCCAATCTAAGCAATAATCCGCCTGCATTGAATGCAAAACCCGACAAGTTAAGATCCATTAAAAAACCAACGGGCTGGAACTCGTTTCTAAAGGCTGCTAAAGGCAGTTGCTGTAAGTATGACATTTTAAATACTTTGAGGCATCTTTCATGTTTCAGCGCTGGTTTCAATGAATGCGTAATTATCAAGCTTCGTTGCCGTGATGTAATTTTACATTTATGGTTGAATATGTAGTGGGTTTTTACTAATTGAACACGCACTAAACAGCAAACAAAACGCTTGCCTTCTAAAACGTTTGCTTCTGTCTGTCTCGTACCAAGACGTCTCTCTTTCGATGAAAATGTGCGCGCAAAGGAAGGCGGGAAGGAGACAACGGGCCTGACGGAAAGCACTAGATAACATCGACCTAAACCAGATGAGTCATCGATATGTCAGCGGCGTCTGGCAAAATGACTGAAACGATCCCGTCGACTCGATCGCAGTTTGAATAGTTTTTAAACGGTCAATATTGTCGTTTCTAGTTTATATCACTAAAAAAAAAGGTTAAATCTGTAATAGACTCCAAGGAAGAACTAAAAGCTTCAAAAAATTGACACGAGGATGACAGTCCCATAGGAAGACATACGTCAAAGTAAAACTGATTATCCCATTTCATGCCTAGCAAAGGAAAATCGGACGGATGAATTGGAATAATCCTGATAGCCGATTTAATATCGGTTTTGGCCAAAAAGCAACCAGCCCCTAAACTTTTAAGTGCCGCAATGGCATCAGAAATAGAAGCGTAGTGAACCGAAGAATGTGTGTCTGGTATGTTATCGTTTACTGAGGTTCCCCGAGGGTACGATAGGTGTTGAATTAAACGGAATTCAGAGGGGTCTTTTTTGGGAACAATGCCTAAAGGAGAACAAATAAAGTTGGGAAAAGGGGGGCAAATATAAGGACAACATATCCTCCCCGCCTCACACTCTTTACGTAGTTTGGTCCGAACGATTTGCCGTTGATCTAAAGCGCTTTTAAGGTTGGGTGAGTGCAACGCGCAGCGTTCCCCATCAAAACCAACGAGAAAACCAAAAGTAAGCCCATTAACTAAATAAAGGCGGATAGAAGTTCCGTATCCGCTAAGAAGGAAAGCCGATCCACCTTTACGGGTGTTACTGGCTTGTGCAGCGACGTTTGAAATGCCTGCTTTGACGGGTTGTGTTTTAGGTTGGCTGGAGGAACACTGTGTGGCAGGGTGTTTTGAGCCACACTTATAGCAAATGTGTTCGAAACGGCATTTGTTGCACACCTTCCCCTCATGGAAACTCCAGCATGTGCCTCTTGGAAAAGACTGGGAGCGGGAGCGCAGTGGTCCCTTGTCCGAGGAAAATTGGGTTTTCGGACGAAACTTTTTCACAGCCTTTAGCCAAAGTTCCCAGTGAATAGCGTCCCATGGGTATTGTGCAGGGGCTGATTGCCTTATGAAACGAAATTGTTCGTCATAATACAACCAGTCACCTGGTTTTGCGGCGATATCGCGGACAATTTCACAATATTTCATCAGCTTGGGTGTGTCCGTGGGTAGTTTTTCCGAATAGATCGCACCAAAAATGTTAAATGCGGAGAGCCACTGGTTGATAGTTTGGATCTTTTTAACTTGGTTTTTAACTGGCTGGCTAGGTTCTAAAGTTAAGTGAGGGCGGGTGGTCTCACCATCCGAAGAGGCGGGAGACAGAGAATACTTTTGATTATTGGGAGAAAACGAGAAGAGAGTTCCAAAATCAAGATATTCGTTGGAGCAGATTTTGGCCTTGACTTTGGAACTCACCCGACTGCTAAGAGAGAAGGCACGCTGCGAGTCTAACCCAGGCTCAGCTAAGGTGACAACGTTTTCGCTACGTGATGGAGTACCTTGGGTGATCTCGGCCAAGGATGCGTTCACTATATTGGCCACTGACTGGTCCGTGGAGGACTGTGTCTCCTGGCTAGGTGCAGCTGGCCATTGCCTCCGCGACAGCTAGCTGTACCGCGTTAGAAATCGAGGCCGAGAGGGCCTGCATGTTGACGGCCATGAGAGGCTGCTCTGTTCAAGTTCCAGCTTGTTGTTGATCACTCGATCGGTCCAGGGCGGGTTTCGATCAGTTCTGTCACACGTGCCCGCTTCGCAGAACTTCGCGTGCGTGTTTGAGACGTTCGCTTCGGCTTAGGATCGAGGCATAATTAGATAGGTAAAAGTAATTAGATTAAGATAAGGCTAAATGCCATATGTTTCCGCTAAGATAAGATAAGATATCAAAACGGTATGAGTCAAAGGGGAGTAAATTAATTAAAGGTCTGAGCCGGGATGTTTATTTTTCCTTTGAGTTTTGTTTTTTGTTTGTTTGTTTGTTTGTTTTTTTAACAAACGGTAATGTGGCTAAGCTACGCACACATAATGGTGACGAATAACCGAACTCTGCTGAAAACCAAATTGCGGGCCATGTAGCAAGAATTGAGTGACATAAATGCCTGGTAAAAGAATATCAAAGTGCATTGAGGACACGCCCAAATAAGGGCGGTCGAATAGGATTGCACACTCATAATATTCACCAGGACACAAAGTATGAATAAAGCCAACGCCAGCAAATACAATCTACCGATGCAAGAAAGGCAAACAGCAGCTCTGTAGAACTGTAAGAACAATGAGTGCAGCCAAAATAAAATGCGCCTAATTAAATAAAGGCGGCAAGTCAGTAACATAAACGGCTGTCACTAAAACAAAGGCATGGCGAGGCAAGTACGTAAACTTTAAAAGGCTCGATTGGGAAATGAAATGAAGCGTTGAAAATTCAACAAGACGAGATTGTGCTGAACAGGCTCAAGGACCTTAGGATTGCTCCCCTAAGACTACGATGGTATTTTTCCTGACCCAAGGAGTTGAGATGCACACCATCACGTGCGTAAAAGTTCTGAGTCGGGCGCCAAAACCTCCTATAAAATAGCATAAGGTATAGGCTCTAAAACTACCCGAAAGCTTGGTCTTACGATTTAAGACACGCAGACAACCCTAACAAGTAGATGTCATGTAAGAGCCTAAAAAACTCTTCAATAGCGTAGCCAAAATGAAAAGGGTCAGAGTATGTTAAATCATTGGAACCCAACTGCATTATATCTATCTCCGGTCGAAAGGACTCGATAACATTCAAGTCAAGACGTAGCGTTTTGGAAACCGTAAGACCACCGACTCCGTGCCATTTTATAACTTGAAATCAACGCTAAAATGGTAGGAATCACGGGACAGGAAAAGGCGCAAACGAATCTCCTAGAACTAAAACACAGGGTTCAGCCGTTGAATAACAGGAAAGATAAAAGGAAAAGAGGGTACTTGCAGTTTTATCAGTCAATGAGGAACGTTGAGTCGACTAGGTCTCGTAGAACACAAATTTTAATCTCTTCAGAAGTAAGTTACACTGATAGAGCTAATGACATACATATCTTTGACTGTTTAGGTAGAGCGCGAGAAAGTGCGTCAGCAATGTACATCTCTTTGCCAGGCTTGTAGGTAAGATTCAGGTCAAATCTTTGCAAACGAAGCATCATACACTGTAGTCTTTTAGAGGCTGTGTTGATTGGCTTCTGTATAGTAATCAGTGGCTTGTGGTCTGTTTCGACTGTAACGTGTTTGCCATAAATGTAATGTTCGAAATGCTCACAAGAGAACACAGCAGCAAGGAGCTCATTCTCTATTTGGGCGTAGTTTTGCTCTGTGGTGGTCAGTGCTCTGTTTGCGTAGTGGACTGGCTGTCCTTCCTGAAGCAGAGTTGTACCAATACCGTACTGTGAGGCATCGCTCTGAATAGTTATATTCTTACTCACGTCAAAGAACCGTAGAACAGGGGCTTTAGTGACGAGGTCTTTTATCTCGTTGAAGGCTTACTTTGAGGGCGTTGCCAATGCCATTCAACTTCCTTCCTCACCAACTGTCTTAAAGGCTGGGATGCTGTAGACAGATGTTGGCAGAATTTTGCCAGATACTGCACCATTCCTAAAAACGTTCTCATTTCTGCGAGGTTGATAGGCACTGGATAGTCAACTATGGCCTGTACCTTTGACGGGTCGGGTTTTAGACCTTCAGCTGTAAGGAGGTGTCCTATGAAAGGAACTTGTGACTGTCGAAGTTTCAACTTCTCGCTGTTGAGAGTGAGGTTTCTTTCTCTTAGCGTCTGAGGAAAGCTTTGAGATTCTGATCATGGTTAGCTATTGCAGCTTCATTAGTGTTTCCAAAACCACAAACTAGGAAATCATCGGCGATGACTTCTACGCCTGTGAGTCCTTCCACTAGCGCATGCATTCGCTGTTGTCATACTTCCGGGGCTGAGTTTATACCAAATGGCATTCTGGGCCAGCGATAGCGGGAAAAAGGTGTGTTCATAGTTGTCAAATAACTGCTCTTTTCATCTAGTTTGACCTGCCAGAATCCACATTTAGCATCTAACACGCTAAATACTTTGGCACCACTAAGGTGAGTTGCGACTTCCTCAATAGTTGGAAGTGGATAATGCAAGCGTTTGATTGCACGGTTGAGATCTCGAGGATCTAAACAAACTCGTATTTTCCCGTTAGGTTTCTTGACTATAACAAGACTAGAGACCCATAATGTCGGCTCTGTTACTTTGGCGAGGATACCATTCTTCACCATGTTATCCAACTCTGACTTGAGGGTATCTCGTAGAGGGACTGGTACTTAAACAGGCGGATATACTACTGGACGGAAAACGTCGTTCACTTGGATGGAGCAGTTTCCTTCAAGGCATCCAACTCCAGTGAAGATATCAGTAAATTCAGATAAGATAGGATCAGTTCTAACATTTGGCAAGACATCAATTCTTTCATTGTGAGTCGCGTTTATGTCAGCATCCATAATTTTGACTAAGTTCATCTTTTCACACGTTGTTCTACAGAGCAGTGGTGGGAAATCTTGCTTCACAATGTGAAAAAGAACCCCATATTTTCTTCCTTTTCTTTCGGTAAGTAGGCGGATTTGACCAAGTGGCCAGACTACAGTCTTGTTGTGCATGATGAGCCTTGTATACGACTGTTCCAGACTCTTACACCGTTTGTCTCCTGTAGCCCTGATGTAGTCACTTTTAGGCAGAATATTACATGAAGCACCTGTATCGATCTGGAGTTGTACCTCGGCATTGTTGTTAAGGCGCACTGTCACATAAGCTGATGTGGAGGAGGGCTTATGACTGTAAATTTCACAATCTTGTACATGATTGACGGAGCGGGAGTCACACTTTTTTTGCAAAGTGTCCCTCTTTGCCACATCTAGTGCATTTCTTGCCAACACCAGGACAGGCTGATTTTTCCATCTCATGAACAGTACCACAAAATTTGCATTCTCGAGTGCATACATTGTTGGTGTTGCCAGTACCTCTCCCTTTTGACTTCCACGGAAGAGTCCGCTTTCCTACCTGAGGCCTGTTTATGAGAGGTCGTATCTTCAGTCTGAGTCTTGGGAGTTTTCGGTTTCTTGAGCTTTACCCTGTTTACATTAGCTTCTTCAGTTGTCATATCTGATGCGCGTATATCAGTTAACTCTTGTGTTCGCAGAATGTCCTAGGCTTTATCCAAAGCAAGATCTTTCTGCTCCAATAGTTTCTTGCGTGCACGATCATTGTTAACTCCAAGGATGAGGCGGTCTCTTATCAAACTGTCTCTTAGGTTCAGAAAGCCACAGTGTTCAGAGAGACGCATCAGTGCTGTGCAATACTGGTCGATACTTTCTCCTGGTTCTTGCTCTGTTTTGTTGAAGAGGTATCGTTCATAGGTTTCATTACGTTGCGGCAGACAACGAGATTCATCTATCTTGTCAGCGCTTTCGTGACTAGCTTCGTCAAAGGTAAAGGTGTCAAACAACTGAACTCCTTCTCTACCAATGACGTTGAGAAAATGAGCGACACGGACTGGACCTTCCTGTTTACTTATCCCAGTCGCTTGTTCAAAGATTTGCCATGCTCTCTTGAAGTGTAACCAGTTATCGCCTCTATGCGATCTGTCTTCTAGGTTGAGAGGATCTGGAGGTTTGGCTAGCGGTACTGTAGGAGTATACATCGATACAGCAGCCGTTGAACCAGACGTTTGCTCACTAGTAGAGGTCAAGGGCAGGACCAAGAGGACTGGGGCTGGCATGCATAGCGAGTAGACGTGTTTTCGAGAGCTCCGCTCTGGTTATTGAGTTATTTTTGTGGCAGCCTGCATTTCTTGTATATGGAAACCATCCTTTCTTCTTTGAAACGTACAATATCAGAGAGAATCAATTCAGATTCGTCTGAGTCAAGTTCTCCGAGGGAAAAGCGTTCAAAGAGTTAAGCCGAGGAAGACGAGGTTCTCCAAGCCTTAAACATGGCCGGTAACGTTAGCGGAAAACTCGATAAAATTCTTGGGGAACTTAAGAAACTGGAGAAACTCGATGCAATTGAGGCAACGTTGAAGGATTTAACAAGCAGCTTGGGGAACGTCGAATCAAATATCGACAAGATGAAAGAAGACGCACGTGCTGTGGAAAGTTCGATCAAAGGTATGGATAAGAGTCTTACGTATCTCAACAAAGAAGTTGAAGAGCTTCGTGGAACGGTAGAAGACAAGGATAAGCAAATAGAATGTTTGCACACGCAACACCTTTATCTCGAATCGTACAGCAGGACAGAAAATCTGAAATTTTTTGGCATACCGGAAAACGAAGCCAGCGCTTCGGAGGGGAAAGATGCGGTTGGCACAATTGATGTTTTGTTTGAGTTTCTTCATGATGTCCTTGGCTTTGGGGATCCAAAGAGGAATATGGAGTTTCAACGAGTGCATCGGATCGGTAAATCCGTACGTGGAAAGCCCAGGCCGATATTAGCCCGTTTTTTAAGCTATCAAGATCGCGAGACAGTGCTTTGTGCTGGGTTTGAATTGAAAGGCACTGAGTATATGATTTCGCAAGACTTCCCTCAGGACATCATAGAGAGAAGGCGCAAGCAAATGCCCAAATTAAAGGAAGCCAAGAAAAGGGGCCAAAAAGTATCCTTTAGTAAATCGGAACCTGATAAACTCTTTATTGATGGCAAGTTCATTTCTGCGTAAGGGTTATATTATCTGTGACCTTTATTTGTTATAGCAAGGCTGTAAGGTGTTACCGTTTGGTTATTGTATATTATAACCATGCAGCAAAAGCTCTCTAGGAGTGATGTCGAATTATTTAATTAGTTCCATCCTCAAGGGCAGCGTTAAGGACATTTATCTTGCTGCTCTTTTAAGTTTTGTGTTTTTCAGTATTTCGTTAAAATGTAATTTTTTCGTTTTTGCTTTTGTAGATGTTCTGCTTTGCTTTTACTATGTTTTTCAAAGCTATTCTGGCGCGTGAGGATATATTCTTTAAAGTTTGAAGGTGCCAAACTGACGTTTAACTTTTCCCACCTAATGAAGTTGTTTTTCCCTTTGGCGAAGTAGGGCGTAGTAACGTTGATTTTAGCCTTTTGTCACTAAATGCTCGAGGGATTCGTACTTTTGAAAAGCGGAAAGCAATTTTTAGCTGGCTTTTAAATTCTGGAGCCGATATTTGTTTTCTGCTAGAAACCTACAGTACTCAAGAGGTCGAAAATATCTGGAGAAAACAGTGGAAAGGAAACATGTTCTTTTCGCACGGTAGTAGCCATCCCTTACCAAATCCAACACTGTTTTGAATGTATTTTTAAGCTATTTTTGAAAACTGTTTTTAACCTGTTTTGTGAAATAGGTTTTAAATAGGGTGAAAAGTGTATTTTTAATGTATTTGTCGACTGCTTTTAAAGGTGTTTTAACCTGTTTAAAACGCTATTAAAAAAGAATTTTTAATGTATTTTGAAATTCGTTTAAAATATATGAAAAAATTCCAGGGCTTTTGCAAGGCTCAAAACAGGTCTAAAATAGTTTTTAAATATCTTATAAATCGGAATAAAAACAGGATAAAAACAGTTTCAGAAACATATTTTAATTTGCTATACTATTTTAAAACTATTTTTAATGGCAATTTTAAACGTATTTTGAAAAAAACAGGTTTAAAATAGGTCCAAAAATATTCGACTGATTTTAAAGGTGTTTTAACCTGTTTAAAACGCTATTAAAATGTTATGCTTCGAAATATATTTTAATAGCTTTTTAATGGGTTTCGAAATTTAGTAAAATAATCGTATTTGCAAAAACAATAAAAATACTTTGAAAATAGTATTAAAATACCACGGAGGAAGAAAAGCAATAGCACGCGTATATTGTGAAAATACATCAAAAATAAGATGCAAAAATGCAAAAACAGTATAAAATTGTAAGAAAATAGCCTTAGAGTTGTCTGAAAACAGTACAAAAATCGGTCGAAAGAGCATAAAAACAGTACAAAAACAGGATGAAAATACCATTTAAATTCATGAAATAAAATGAAGACAAAACCGTCGAAAATTACTCTGAAAAAGCAAGATTTACTTCTGCGAAATTTCTCCACACAGTCCTACGCTAGCATTTCACGGGAATTATCTCTTAACCGATTACTTTACGTTGATTTCCCTACGAATTCTCGGGAAATTCTTATGGAATTTTTCAGAAATGCTGAAATCAATCTTTAGCATGTGTACAAATCCCCTCCCCTCAATAAAAATCGGAGGGGAAGGGGGTCGGTACACAGGCTATCAATCTTCCGCTTCAAAAGAGTATTGCGTTACGTTACCGGTAAATAATAATCTACATACATGTAACTTACAGTTTTTATTATATTCACGGCTTTACTCAATTATTATCAGAAGCTTGCAGGCTACGCCTGAACGTTTAATTATTGGCTGATAAAGAACAAAATAAGAATAACACCATCAAATTTACACGAGCATGAAAGAGGTCGGTGACGTGACATCAAGTGACTGAGAACAGCGAGGCTGAGCATGGAACCCTGTAAAAACTAAAATTGCCGTACAGGCGGGAGTATATAAATGTTTACTACCCTTCATTTGTTTCTCATATGGCGTATACTTAAGCGTCTTAGTAACATGTTATGCATATATTGTGTATAATACTCACATAACAGAAGACTCTTGGATTAACACACAAGACAGCACAAGACCGCGTGCTTCGGAGAGAAACTGAACCAGATCCTTTCAAAGTACATAACAGTCGCTGAGGAGTCATACGAATTTTTGATCCGTGATAAATGCAACATCTACGTGTTCAGACAATCCGCAGAGTTGAAATGTATACTTTTGTAAGATCGTAACAAACAGTAAAATCAAGCGCACCCGCCATCACAGCAACCGCCGGTACAATAATTTGAAATGAGCAAAGGACAAAGGACGGTTTGTTTATCACGTGCATTTGTCACATCACCGCGGCGCGAAGTCGTGATTTCAGTCGCGCGTGACATCTTAGAAATAATATGCCATGCATGTGCGGAATAATCTATGAGAGAAAGATAACCATATGTCGGAGTTTATTCATATCTGAGCTTTGTTTCTTGATGCAATGTATATGAGGTGAGATCTTAGCTTGGATAATTTATTTATTATGTAATTTCAAGGGCTTATTTTAGATAAACCTCTGTTGACCGCGTGCATCCGGTTCTCGGCCCGCGGCTTCGGCTGTTTGTGAAAAAATTTCTATATGAAATTAAAATGCGATATAAGAAGTTTCTTTTAAAAAACTTATGGAAAGTCCCGTAACTTCATTAATTGAATCACGGCTAAAATCTACGCGGAGATTTTCGCAGAGAGCTTGCAGGTAATGAACAATGAGGAACGGATAGATCTTTTATCGGAACACTGTCACAGTTACGTGTTGTCAGTCAAAGCTAAAACCTATTCCTAATTTTCTTCTCTTTTTTTATTTAATTTAGATTTAATTTTTCGCTCAGCTTCGAACTTTGTTGGGAGGAGAATCCGGTCCACAATATGTGACAGCTTGTTTTGAGTCATTTATGAGTTCGTGACACGATGAAGGCTTAAAAATTAACTTTGTGCAATTGTTACTTTTATTTATAGTCTGAGTATAAGTCTCCCAAAAGACATTACAGTATTGCACCCTAGTAATAATAAGTTATAAGTACACTACTTTAAAGTATTTACAATAAGGTAAGCATTTGATGACTTTAAGCAGACTTCAAATAGTTTATGGATAATCTGTTTTTATAGTCAGAGTGCTGTGTGCCCAAAATACAATTCAAATAGACCTCAAAACAGTGTTTAAGTACCCTATTTAAAAGTATTTAAAATGCGGTCAGTTCTTAAGGTTTTAAAACATATTTCAAATAGTCTATTTGAACTCTGTTTGTAACTTTGTCAGTGGATGCGTCTCAAAATACATTTTAGATACAACTCAAAACAGTGTTAAAGTACCCTATTTAAAAGGATTTAAAATACGGTCAGCATTTAGGCTCTTAAAACATATTTCAAATAGTCTATTTGAACTATGTTTATAACTTTGTGAGTGGATGCGTCTCAAAATACATTTTAGATACAACTCAAAACAGAGTTAAAGTACCCTATTTAAAAGTATTTAAATTACAGTCAGCATAAAAGCCCTTAAAACATATTTCAAATAGTCTATTTGAACTCTGTTTGTAACAGTGTGAGTGGTTCTATGCCCAAAATACATTTTAAATACCCTATTTTAATCATATTTATTAAAAAAATACATTGTAAATTGATGAGAGAGGTTTTCCTTTTGATGAAATACAGTTTAACTACACTCAAGATGTATTTCAAACAGGGGCGAAAATTTAAATTTTTATGTCAAATAGGATTAAAATACAGGAAAATAGTGTTCAAATACTGAAAATACATTTTAAATACTTTAAAATCAGTTTTAAAATACATATGGTTTGGTAAGGGATAGTCGAGGTGTACTTGTAATGGTAAGGGATAACTTACACTTTCAACTACGATCTATGAAGGTTGATTCTCAAGGTCGCTATGTTTTCCTAGAGGTTTCCATTCAGGATTCACCATACTTTCTTTTAAATATTTACGCTCCAAACAAATGTAGTGAACAATGTACCTTTTTTAAAGAAATATCAGAAATTTTGAAAGCTGCTAGAACAGAACAGGATTACCCAGTTATCGTCGGAGGCGATTTTAACGTCATACTTGACCCTGACTTAGATGGACGGGGCGGAAACAACAGAAAGAAAGACTCCG